CTCTTTTATTTTTTTGACTTAAATTAATACATAAAATATGTATTTAAGATCCCTTATTTTGCGTCTAAAAATATAGAATAAATAAATTCCCCATTAAATTTACTGAAAAGTTGAAAGTACTTCATTACCTATTTTCAAAAAAAGTTGAAAACAGCTGTGATACACTCAAATTCTTCAAATTAAACCATTGGTGGAGCGTTGGATCCGTTGGGTCTTGAGAATCTCAATCACGTTATACACGCGTGAAGTATGTAATGCGCCCCACAGCCCACCTGCAACATCGATAAAGTTATAATATTTAAATTTTGGAGGGTAAGTTTAAAATAATTTGGGAGATATCATTATTCATTTTTTATGAAGTTCATTACAATCAACCAGAAATCCTCTCATTTTGCTGCTATTTACTTGTCTAGTTTAACCTCCCTCCCTCTTCAGAGTTTGGTTCAGAGGAAGTCATGGAGAGCATCTATCATTTCAGCCATCCACATCCTTTGGTGCTTGTGGATAAAGAGCCGGGTAATCATGGAAGTCGAAAAGGTTTTTGTTCTGGATGCAACCAAGCAGCACTAGAGGGTTATTGTTATGATTCTTATGAATGCTGGAAAGCAGCAGAGGGTTATTGTTCTGGATGCGAGGAAGAATTAGAGGGTTCCAGCTACGGTTGTGGTGAGTGTGGATTTTTCCTTCATAAGAAATGTGCTGAGCTACAAACGGAGATCATTAATCACCCCCTCCACCCCCAACACCCTCTTTCTCTTCGTTTGAAACCTTATGCTCCTAATAGCTGTAATGTTTGCAGGAAAGTTATCAGATTTTCTTATCGATGCAAGTCTTGTGATTTTGATCTTGACCCTAGATGTGCTATGCATCCTCAATTTGTTGCTAAAGAGTTTCAAAAGCTTCAACATTTTAGCCACGATCATCCTTTGATACTTGTTGAAGATATTAAAATTCAAACTAACCGAGATGCCTGCTTAGGATGTATGGAGCCCATGTACGAGTCCAGTCCATTGTACTGTTGTCTTAATTGCGCATTTCACCTTCATAAGAAATGTGCAGAGTTGCCTCCTAAGATCAATCACCCTGCCCACCGGAAACACCCTCTAAAGCTTTTGGCCAAACCCCCACCACATCAGAAGGAATGTTCTTGTCATTTGTGCACAAAACCTTATCAGGGAGGATTTATTTATTGTTGTTCGGTTTGTGAGTTGGGCTTCAAACATACGGATCCTATTTTGCAAACAGTTACAGCTGAAACTCATCATGAGCATTCGTTGATCCGCCTTTCAGGCACAATTTCATTCGTTTGTGAGGCATGTGGAACTGATGGAAGTGGTTTTTGCTTTACATGTGTTGAATGTAACATTATTATTCATATGAAATGCGCTTCACTTCGTCACACCATCAAAATTATAAGGCATCCACATCGACTTTCTCACATCTATTTCTTTCGAGATAAGGAAGCTGGAAAACGTGAATGCAATATTTGTTATGATGAATTAGATCTGGGATATGGGAGTTACTGCTGTGCAGATTGCAACTATTTTGCTCATGTAAATTGTGCACTTGATGAAGATCTTTTGGAAGATGAAAATTCCCAATCATCAGATGACTGGACTGCTATCTTTCCTGCTTTTCAAGAAATCAAACCTGGAGAGATAAAGCATTTCAGCCATAAACACAACTTAATATTGAGTGATGATGGGGTTGAGGATGGCCAAAGTTGTGAAGGTTGCGTGCGTTCCATCTCTACTTCATTTTACTGTTGTGCACAGTGCAATTTCTTTCTCTGTAAGTGCTGTGTTCATGAGTTACCCAAGAAGGTGCGTCACTGGACTTGCATGCATTTAAGAGAACTCTTTTTCTATTCCATTTTTGATTGTGGCCATTGCCAGTTTTTGAGTAGTGGGTTTGGCTACCATTGTTATGGATGCGGCAAGATTATGTGCATCCGGTGTCATGAAATTCTCAACACTCGTATTGTAAATATAGAAGGACAGGAGCACTTTCTTTTCTTTGACCACAAATACGAAGGGGAATGTTATGGTTGTGATGATGATTTTAATCGAGACAGTTTTAGATGCAAGGACAAGAAATGCAATTTTGCCTTGAATTATAGCTGCCTTGTGCTACCAGAAACAGCTCGGTACAAATATGACGAGCATGCTCTCAAGCTTACTTATCGTGATGATCATGATCTAAGTCAATGTAATTGTGACATATGTGAAGAAAAGAGAGATCCGAAGCAGTGGTTTTATCATTGTGCCTATTGCGATGTTTCTGCTCATCCTAATTGTGTGCTTTGGAGATCCCCATTTGTCAAGCTCGGGAAACCATTCCGGATTGGTGATCACGAACACCCTGTCACTTTGGTGAAGATAGATTTTTATCCTCCTAAATGCAACAAGTGTGGTAAGCCTTGTAGAGATGATCTATCCATTCAATGCACAGAGCCAGATTGCACCTACATATTCCATTGGAACTGCTACCGGAAGCGTAAATATTCTTTGGTTCGGTGTCTTCTACATAGAGACTAAAGAGCTAACATTGGTATTGTTCTTACGATATTAATTATGTCTCTTATGAAGGTGAACGAAAATGAGATATCTCATTTGCACTTTATTTTGTTTTCGACTAATTTTTTAAGTTTAGTTTGATCTTCTAGCTGTTTGTTGATGTTGTCGGACTGTAACTTATTTGCTTCTACCAAATATGTGATATGGCTATTGTCTGAATTTTGAATGTATTGCTTTAAATAGTTGTTTTTACTCATCAATAATTCGGTCGTCTCTGTACTTCAAATACCAGAACAATATTTGTTTCTTCTTTTCTTTATAGATTTTGATGTTTATTTGTTTCTATGTGTCCTATTTATGCTTTCTTTTATGGTTCATATATTCTCTGCTTATACTTTTACACAGAGAATATATTCTCTACTTATACTTTTGTACAGAGAGGATATATTTTACTAATGTGATATTTTATCTTATATCGAAACTTATTACTAGCAATTTGTATTTTGCAAAATCATATCAGTTTTGACTAAATTAACAATAAAGGCGTTCCTTGCGGAGACTTATGAAGGAAAACCTTATAATTTTTTTTTTCTTTTCCTTTGGGGAAAGCCTTATAATTAGTTCTTCTTTACACTATTCCTGAAGGATTGAATTCAAAACCTCTCTTGACTCCAGCCAGTTCTTTGATTACTACACAAATGCTTTGTTGGCTTTCACAAGTCTCTATCTATCTTGATAAAGTAACAGAAATTAGAATAACTACTCATAAAATTCATGATTCATGAACATGAAAGAAAGAACAAATTTCAGGGTTATAAACTCATCATTACATGACAATATGTCATTGTTCCCTCAACCTTTCTCAGAATATCAGAACTAACACCGGAATCGAAGCAATACCAGTTATATCCATCAGTTAACAGATAGTTGGAAGATCAAGTCAACTCCACAGACAAAATTCACCTTCATGGCTTGAAGAAGATCCTGTTTCCACTGAGCTACTGGGAGAATCCAGGCACTCCTCCACTTTCTTCCCCAT